AAAATTGGAAATAGAAAATCATTATTTAAGTGTCCTTGAGCCAGAAAGGCAAATATGGTATATTTTGCTTATATATGAATATTAGTTTTTTTCAAGTCAATGATAACAAAGCTATAATCCATGAAATCAAAAAGGGAAGGGATAGAGCAATGGACTACAGGGAACATATTGATCTCTCTGGGAAAGTGAAATAGAATGAAAAGATATGGAAGAAAATGGGGCTTTATTGGGTGCACCATGTGGGGAGGGGGAGGAAAAGGGGGCTTATGGTAGAGAAAACTATGTGATCCTGATTCTTCCTTGGGATCTTTGGCTGTATTGGACCACAAGGGTAGGGGGATTAGAAGTAGAGAACAGGGTTCAAGACTCCCTCTTAGAGTCTGGCTTCAACTTTATTCCAAAGTATAAATAATATGTAGGATTAGGGAACCTGTGAACAAACACTTATTTGCATTAAGTGGGCTGCTCATACTACAAGGCTTTGTATGAGGCAGTAGGGTCCTATAAAAGAATTCCTAGAAAAAAATTGTCTATCAGGAATCTGTGCCAAGGTTCAATCTAAAGATAAATCAGGCATTTGGCTCAGAGACAGCTGGTAGGATAAGGTCAGTTCTATAGACCAAGGAACATTTTCCAGAGAAGGGCAGATAGAGGCAGGAACATCTTCTGAGGAGGTTGGGAGTCACATTGTTTTTGATCTGCTGTGTTTTGAGAAACAAATACAATGAAAATGGATATTAAAATATTATTTTATTTTGATTTCTTGCCAATGAATCAGAATTCAGCCTAGAGAAGAATAAAACATTATTAATTCTAAATTCTAACTAAGTATGTTTCTCTAAGTCTGTGAATTGGAATGAAGAAATCCTGTTGAAGTTCAAAATTTCTTCTTTCCTTTAATTTGTAAAATGCAATTGTTGATATATTATTAGAAAACACAGCCCACATCTGACAGAGGGATGATCTCAAAAATATACAAAGAACTTAAGAAACTAGTCACCAAAACACAAAATAAATATATTAAAAAATGGAGTACACAACTGGAGAAAGAATTCTCAATAGAGGAAATCAAAAAGGCCGAAAGACACTTAAGAAAGTGCCCAACATCCTTAGCTATTAGGGAAACACACATCGAAACATCTCTGAGATGCTATCTTCCTCCTGTCAGAATGGCTAAAATAAGAAACACCAGTGATAGTTTATCCTGGAGAGGATGTGGAGAGAGGGGAACACTCATCCACTGCTGGTGGGAGTGCAAACTTGTACAGCCATTTTGTAGATCAGTATGGTGGTTTCTCTGGAAAATGGGAATCAGTATACCACAGGATTCAGCAATTCCACTCTTATGTGCATATCCAAAAGATGCACATCCATTCAACAAAGACATTTGCTCAACTAAGTTCATACCAGCATTACTTGTAATAGCTAGAACCAGGCAACAACCCAGGTGCCCCTCAACTGAAGAATGGATAAAGAAAATGTAGTACATTTATGCAATGGAGTACTACTCAAAAGAGCAAAACAATGGAATCTTGAAATGGATATAAGTAGAAAAAACTATGAGTGAGGTAACCCAGTCACAAAAAAGAAAGACATGGTGTGTATTCAACTCATGTATGGTTTTTAGATATAGAATAAAGGATCACCAGCCTAAAATTCATACCAACAGAGAAGCTAGGAAACAAGAAGGAACCTAAGAGAGGCATACATGGTCCCTCACAGAAGTGGAAACAAGATCTGCTGAGCATATTGGGAGTGGAGGGGAGAGGAGGCAGTGAGTAGAGAGGGTGTTAGGAGAAAAAGAGGGGAGAAGAGAAGGAAGAGAAGAACATGAGGGAACAGGAAGATTTGAGTCAGGTGAGAAATAGAAGAGAGCAAGAAAAGAGATACCATAATACAGGAGGCATTATAGGATTTAAAAGAAATCTGGCACTAGGGAAATGTCCATAGACCTACAAGGATAACCACACCTAACAATCTAAGCAATAGTGGAGATGCTACCTTAAATGCCCTTCCCTGATAATGAGATTGATAACCATTTCATATGTCATCCTAGAGCTTTCATTCAGTAGCTGATGGAAACAGAAGCAGACACCCACAGCTAAACACTGACCTGAAGTCCTGGGATCAAGTTGCAGAAAGGGAGAAGTGATAAGCAAAGGGGTCAAGACCAGGCTGGAGAAACTCTCAGAGATAGCTTACCTGAACAAGTGGGAGCTCATGGATCCTAGACTGGGAAACCAGCATAGGGCCGAACACCTGAATGTGGGTCTAAGTTAGAAGGCCCTAGCAATCTCCAAGAACTCTGCCAGTGGAACCAGGATGTATTCCTGGTACAGGAAAGAATTTTGGGAGCACATTCCCCATGGAGAGATACTTCTTTAGTATAGATATACTAGGGAGGACCTAGGCCCTATTCCAAATGACTTGACAGATTTTGATGATCCCTCCTGGAAGACTTCACTCTCCCTGGAGAGTGGATGGAGAACAGGCCAGGGGAGGTTTGGGGGGGGTTATGGGAGGATGGAAGGGAGAGGAGAGAATTCAGATCGAAATGTAAAATAACAAATATATATAAATTAAAAAAGAAAGGAAGGAAGGAAGGAAATGTGGGCTGCAGAGATGGGTCAGCCATTAAAGGCTAGGGTCCCAAAAAAGTTCACTCATAAATCTGTAGTAATAGAATAGTAATTGGTATAATACAAAAATTCAGTATTTACTTACAGTCTTGGGAATAAATATTCAAGTATGAATGTACTGAGTTAACAAATGCAATGTGAATTATATGTTAATCAAGGCACTTAATACCTGCCATAAATTAAAAAAAAGCACATGCATCTAAAAATATTTACTGTCTACAAATAACATTATGTAACATTTGTTAATCTTGGTAATCTTGTTGTGCTTGGAATTGAACATACAGCCTTTTGGTCCCTGGAAAATCTTATACTAATAAGTTGTATACTCAATACTGTACTGTTTGCCAATTGGAATTCACTGTTAAATTAGTTGCTTTCATGAAAATCAGAATGTTGACACAATAGAAACAAGCTTAACTTCATGATCATGGTTTTAGGGTAAATACCTGTATATAATTTGCTGTGTAGTCTTTCAAGATATTTCAAGTTAAATTTTATGATTCCTACACATTATTTCAATAGACAAACATTTACAATCATTTTATAATTACAATCTTATTATAGAACTTAAGTTAAAGGTTTTAAGAAATATGTAAACAAAATAAAATTTAAAATGATATTCTTTTGGAAAGAAAATTATTTATTTTGTAATATTTTAGCAAATGATCATATAAAGATAAACTAACTATTAAAAATAATCTTAACTGTCTGAAGACACTAACAACTCTTGTTTAGAAACTGGAAAAGTAAGCTCAAAAGACATTTCTTGTCACTGTTGTTGTGTTACGTTATTTTCCAGAATTATGAAACAAAGTAAAAACTCTCCATGCTGCTATGTATACCAGAAAATCATTAAGGAACTGCTTACTTTGGTTACAAGAATCTTTATTTTGTAAACTATACATAAACAGTAAAAAAAGAAAATGCATTATAGCTTAAATATTATGTAAGGTCAACATTAAAGTTTTTAATTATTATGTAGAAATTAAATGGAACAAGTTCACCAAATTTGTGTTCTAGGAATAATATTCCAGAAAATCTGTAAATTCATTATTGAAGTGAAATATACCAAGGTGTAAAATTCAACAGGTTTTCTCATTTCTATTATAAGCACAAAACTATTGGTCTGATATACTCAACAGAGGTGGCATGTCAAAATATCTACACAATGAATTAACATGCTAACTGGTGTATAGTGATCAAAGTAATTTTTGTTACAGTTATATCTTAAATGCTACTCTTTACAATAATTATAAACAGGTCCATATGGGATTATGTAACAATAGAAAAAAAGAAAGAAACATATTCCACTTTCTTCATTCCAGCAGTATCTTCAGTAGCAATAATTTGTTAATTATGTGTGCTTAAGTATTGCCTAGTATCCTATACTTGTATGCATGCTAACCCTTTCTATTTCTATTTTTGCAAGGCACCCTACAACACATTCTCTAATTTCATTACTACTAACAAAAATGACATGATTTTAAGATTAAACATAAAATTTTATATTATATAAAAATGAGAATGCACAATTTCAAATTTGATCTTGGGACAAACAAAATATATTTAATGCAAAAGTGTTTGAAATAAATATCTTTCTTTCTAAATGAAATTATGCATCCAGATTGCTTGCTGGAAAGATAGAAAAATCTAGAAATGATGCTGTTTAAAAATATTTTTAAACATCCATATGATACACAATGCAATTTAATTTCAAAAGTAGGAAGAAAAACTAACTTTTAACTTTCAGAATCCATGGTATTCCATAGTTTGCACTGCAAAAAATTATTTAATCATATCCAAGATAACTTTATAGTTAAAAAGATAACCACTTACTAAGTACTCACTAGTGGTCACTTTGTCTTACCATGAGTCATCTTTCTTATTTCCCAACAAGTAAGTTTGGTAAGAGGTCCAGTTTGATCAAAATTAACATCATGAACTAATTGACAAAAACCCTGTGGTTCATATCATTAATAAATTACTATAAATTTAGCTTATAAAAATCCACCATAAAGGCAACACATATAATCCCAAGCACACATTCATTGTTATTATTTTTGTGGAACAATTAAATAGTATGTTATTTTTAATTTTATTATAATAGTCTTCACAACTTTCTATATTCAAGTGACAACCCATATGTGTTTTCTTTTTTTCTAAGGCATATAAAAACCAAAATTAAATAATTCTTATTTAAACATAATGTTCTATGGTTTTAGCTTCAATATTTGAAATAATTATACAAAATATATGTGGGGTTTAGAATCACTTTGTTTAGGGATAAGAAGGAAATTCTCAATACGTTAGTATTTTGTAAATATTAAAAATTTAGTATTTATTGACTTCAGCTGTCACTGGTCAAATATATCCGTCATGGTCATCCCCATCATCATCATCATCATCATCGCCTTCATCTTCATCATCATCTTCAATATCATCCTTATCATTCATAATGTCATCTTCACCTTCATCATCAGTCCATTCACGGAAATCTCCACTTGCAAAATCTCCAGAGATTTCAAAATCTATAGCTGCAAAAGCAAGCACCATTACTTGACTGAGCAATGCCATGTTTTTTGAATTATATAAACTAATAAAGAAAGTTGAAAGGTTTAATGAATGTGTATTTGCTGCTTCTCTCAAAGAAGATAAAAGAAAAATCTATTCCTGGAAAGACTGTTGTATGTTAGATCTCTAACTGGTTAAAATATTTACGCTGAAAGCAATGTTCAGTGTACGATTTCCAGTTTAGTAAATTTGATATCAGTCCAAGTTTTGTAGAATTTTTGACAGACTACGAAGTTTGACATTACTTAAAATTTCCCCTACAAGTATATTAGGGGGAACAATTATAATAGCAAAATAGATACTTCCTAAATTTTGAAATCACAAAGCTTCATTACCTAATATTAAAATACAACTGTATAAATAAGATTCAACTCGTGACCTTGAGACAGGAGACTGTCCTGGGTAATTTCCCTAGTACTTGTTTCCATTTAACCACATTTTCCCCTAGAAAGTGGTAATTTAGAGATGAAACTATAAAATAATGTTTAAAATATTATGGAGTTTGTGTATTAAAACTGGATGGGAGGGTGAATAATACAAAGAACATCAGAAAATTCTAGAGAATAGAAAATTCAAGGAAATTGATTTTTCCCGAAGAGTCTCCAGAATAGCATTAATTGACTAAAATACTGATGTTTCCTTTAGGAGACCTGCAAAATTGAAAGATGATAAACTTGTGTTAATTAAGCCAGAACTGTAGTGGGATTGATTTTTCTGTTGTTACTAGAGCAACAGAAAATTAATACTCATATTAATTTAAAATCAGCTTCTAATATTCTAGAGATAGCAGATCACATATATTCAGTATAGTGTAACAAATATTAAGCCCTCAAATGATACTTCCTTTTTAGTCTTAATTCTTATAAATACCATTAATGTATTTAGATGGTTATAAATTGGTTGATTTCACATCTGAAAGTATCATTTATGTGAACAAAAAAAATTTCTTAAATTCTATATTTATATATATCATAGTTACACCAGTATAAAAAAAACCCAGGAATTATAATTTCTAAAATATATTTGCTCACTTACTAAACTCTTCGGCACATAATTTTAATTGGTAGCATAAAAATTAAAATACTTTATCCACTCATATTATAAATGGATGATGTCATAAATTATCCAAGCATTTTGTGATATATAATATGAAGGTTTAATCTTCAGATTTTAACACTCTGTAGGTAAGATAGGTATTGAATTCTAGTTGCTGCTTTGATCATTTAAGTAAGGTCCTAATACCAAAGCAAGCTCTGAAAATGTTATGAATAAACAAATGCAAGTCAGGAAGGAACAATTATGTGAGATTACTTATTATCTGTGATTTGTTTCTTCTTAAACAACCCTTGTTTACCAGTCTAAAATTTCAAAAGTATTATCACTGTGTACATAATTTTCATCATTTTAATTGATAGTAATGAAAATAAAATCCATTAGATCTGCATTAGGGGATTGGTTTAAGTAATTAATTCTCTCCTTGCTATATCCAAATACTTGACAAATATGAGGAAATGGAGTAAAGTTGAATTGGGGCTAAATTTTAGAGTGTATGATCCATCATGGCAGGGAAATGGATGCTGGAGTGACAAGAACAACTGGGACAATTGGAAAGATATTTTGAAGTTGTGAAAGATGTACTTTAAGTGTCAAACCAGGAAGAAGAAATCCACACTAAAGCTGGGCCCTAACTTTCAATGTCCATTACACTCTATATTATATATAAATGCTCCTATGTATCATCAAAATTTGGGACCAAGTGTGACGGGAGATGTCATTGATGATAAGATATGTCATTCTGTAAATATGTTTCTCATACTGGTTAATGAATAAAGCAGCAGGCAGAAAAACCTAACTCCATACATATGGCACCCACGTGCTAATAAGAACTTCCACTGAAAATTTAACAAAAGCTTTAAAAAGGGTTTTAGAAACAAAAGGACAGAGACAAGCAAAGTTTCTTGGTAGCAGCATTTTTCTCGTTTGGACTCTGCTTTGTGAGAGACAAGCAGATAATTGTGTGACTCATTTAAGGGAAATTTCCTAACTCAGCATAAGGGGATAAAACTGCAAGGCTTTTAAATAACTCTGCTAACAATTTATTAGTGTATATGAGAGATGGCAATGACCATGACCATATCTCCTCCAAGCCAGCAGCATGCTTGCTGGATGGCAGCGGAAACCAAGGCAGTGAACACAGCTTTCAGTGCTGGCGGTAAAAGTACCTGCCACCATCTTTGATAAACCGCGGATGACACAGCTATGACTTTCATTTTAGCAATGTTGTTGTTTACCAGATAAAAGAATCGTGGCCAGAAAAAGATAAAGATTTACAGTAAAGACAGATTCACATTAAGAAAAACCACTAAAAGTTTACAATGTGTTTTAAAATATACATAAACTGTTAATCCCAACAGCCTGATAGATTTGCATTTATACCATCTTAGGAGTTTGTAGGGTAATAAGAAGGGTTTTTTAAAATAGTTAATTCTGTTTAAAACAAACACAAACACTGACTTGAATGTTGCATTCTGGGAAAATTGATAAAAATGGAAACTGTAAAATCATATAATCTCAAATTCTTGTATAATTCTTAAATACACATAAGATATATGTTCATAAAATAATTAGAACATCAACTATAACTATCATTTGATACACAAATGATGTTTTTCATACCTAAACATAAGGAAACAAGCAATGCATTAGTCTAATTTATCAAACTTCATACAGTTGAAATTGAGTTTTGTTTGGGTTGGCTTCATTTGGTTTGGCTGATGAGGGTCATGTTATTCAACTCATTTTTCACCAGAGAACAGCAGACAACCATTCTAACAATATTCATTGTTTTACAGACTTAGATTAGAATTAGAATATGCACCTACATTTTACAACTTTAGCTAGAATAAATGTTTGTGACAAACATCTTAACTTGAAGTAGGAATTGAAATTCTGCTTTTTATCTTTCTCTTCAAGATACTTAAATGTGTCTGTTTTGTATATTGTTATTGTTACCACCATTCACAATATGCAAGAAACAAGACTTCTTTCCACCTATAACATTCATATGTATCCTACATATTAGAAACGAAGAATAGGGGAGGTCTTTGTTAAATGCTTGAAAAAGTTCATGAGCCTTTGACATATTTAATTGTGTGTTAGAAAATTTTATGAAGTGAGCCTTTCTCTTACCACAATCTGTAACACCATTTCTTCTGGATCCTATGACTTCATTTCCATATCTGTCAACACACCAGCACTGCCCTACACTTCCATGGCATTGTGTTGGCTTGTAGTAACCATCTTCATCACACAGAGGGACATATTGTCCTGTGAAGTAAAAGGTCACACACACAAATGTAAAATAAGTTTATTAATAAGGTGTATTCTCCTTTAGATGGTTATTATGTATTAGTATCCTAAAGAATCAAAACATGTTTGACTCTATGCTCATATTAAATCATTCAGAACACTTAGCATGGCATCCAATACCCTTGCTTGTGTTATTATTGACAATTTTCTATTCTGGCTTTCAACAATTTCATTCAACATTACAAAAAACCAATCTATGCCAAGCTGTTTCTCACTAATATAGTGTTACTTTGCTTATTCCAACTGAAATCCTTCTCAATTCCTACACTTTTCATTTTAAGGCTTCAACAAAAAATTACTCACTGTATAGTATTCTCTCTCTTTTATTGTGCATGTGTGTTTATGTGGATGCCTCTGTGTGTGCTACCATTATTTATTGTTATCACTATTCTATGGTATTTTTTTCTGTTTGAAAATATTTAGGATCTCTTGGTTTTCATTGTTATACAAACCATACACATTACACTGAAAGTGGAACCAGAAAATAGTGGGAAAATAGCTACTCCTATTTGTAGAACCTGACACAGTCCCATACATAGTACATGTATAATGAGGGATGTTTAGTTCTGTATAAGCTTAGGAATTTCTTCTACAAATACTCCAACATTAGCTACAACTTTTAGACAATCAGATATTTCCATTTCTCCCCATTTATTCTTTCATGTGAACAGAATTCTCATATATATTCTGTTAAAATATCTATTATAGAGAGAAAATATGAATGTCTTTTCTAGTAGCTCATATGGGATGATAATTTTACACCATAAAAAGCTTCATAACTCTAATACATACAATGATACATTTAATACAAATATAATTCAACTGAAATATGTGAACTGATATGAAAAATTTACCAAAGTTAGTTTCTTCTACAGTCTTCAAGGCATTAAATACAAGAAAAAAAATCTTTATACCTACATAATTAAAATATGGTGATGTTGCAATCATTTTGTTATGTCAGGAAACTTAGAATAGAACACTGGTAAGTATAGCACTTGCACTACAGACATGAATGCAAACTTGATCTTCACATTGAAACACATGATGCTTTACCCTGATAGAGCAGCTGGCCAATTGATAAATGCCTCATGACCTCCCCTTAATCAAAAAGAGCACTTAAGGCATCCAATGTTCTAATATCTTCCTTCTTATATCATGAAAGAAGAGTAAGGGAAATCTTCCCAGGTTCTCACTAAATGTGACTCTTTAATATATTCAGAAAAGAAAAGCCAACATTCTAATAGATTTCAGTACTTCTTGACCTTGCTCACCTCTGAAATATCTATCTGAAGTTAAGGGCTTCTTCAGGGTGCAATGTGAAATGTTGGATTGCAGAAACATGCTCATGCATCCATATGCTATTTCCCCTCATGATTTATACCACCACAAGCAGCTATCCACAGTTTAAAAAGAAAATTGCCCTGTTTTATAATCATTGGTTTTTCACCTAAAGCATTTTATGACAAACCATTTAACTGAATGATGAGGCCTAGGGTAAGAATTCCCTAGAACATTAAAAAAAATGTTCTAATTTAAAGTTACTATATTTTTAGCTTCATGGATACTATCTAAAATGATGTTTATTAATAAGATTGAGAGACATTGTAAAGTCTTAAAATATGAATGCTTCAATATACACTCACAATGTGGTACCTAATGTGAAAATACAAACATACACTTATGATGCTAAAATACAACTGGCAGAACTGGTCAAATTCAAGTTGTATTGTAGCAATAATAATTTATTAGATTTTACAAATAAGCTATACAATTTACAGCATGTAAAGAAAAGGATGGAAAGAGATGAGTGAAGGATGTATAGAATATATTCTCTGTTAGAAACATTTCTAATTTAAAATTATTTCAAATGGAATTATTAACAATGTGTGATTGTATATTCATATATATATGAATATAACAGCATTGTGACAGACAGCCAAGTATTCAAATATTTTATGACTTTGGCTAAATTATTCTATTATTGTGTCTCATTATTGTCTCTCTCATTTATCTACCTACCATTTACCTACCCATTTACTTATGTATCAAAATTTACTTACTAAAAGTAACAGTTGTAAATTTACTAATGAAAACCACTAAAAGTCCTGCTCATATTTCTGAATTAAAGGTGCAATCACCTACATACATTTGATATGGGTGGTCACATATGATGCTACCAATCCTTAAACATTTAACTGTAGAAATAGACATTTTTGCTGATTCTAAATCTCTTTTGTACTTAACTTTCAAAATGAACATGATATTAGAGTAATAAAACAGAAATTAAATCTTTCCATAGGTGAGAAAATAAAAGTAAGTTCAATGACTTTCCAAAAATTCATAAATTTTGCTGATGAAATTTAATGCAGTCTCTCTTTTCTGTCTTTGTTGGATTAATATTGATTTTATGTTGCTGTTTCCCTGTGGTAATTTATGCAAGCAAGAAAGCTTCCAGAAGAATGATCTGTGACTCACCTAGGAACTTCTTTATCCCTTGTCGCTTCTGAATGTTGCTGAGCTCTGTCTGGCAAGGTGGGTCTGTAAAGACATTAAACCCAGTACTTCAAGGACTTAGTTAAAGAATGTTCACCTGCCAAGCTATCCATCTGTCATGCTATCACATGGATATATGTGTGTGGATGTATCATGATAAACATGTGCAGAGATATATCAATGTATAGATACATGATGGAGTGTAACAATTTACCATTGATAGCAATGGTAGGTTTTCCTGATATTTATTAGTATGACTGAAATTTCATATAGAATGATAACTACATAGATACAGATGATGGAATACATTTACTTTTTACATTTAAAAGTCTAGATCCAGTTAATTTATGACCAAAATCTAACCCATCTCCCTCTCATTTAGCATATGCCATAGGATAACAGAGCAATTTTTCACTTTGCAATTGCAATATTCTATGAAAAGGATACTTCTTTTTTCAAGTGACACTGAACATTTATCTGTTTTGTTGTTGTATAATATTATTGGTGTACCTTGGTCTTTAGTTTCTTGAGAGGCTTCAAATGTGTAAGTTGTTTAAAAAGATAATGTCATATAAAATGTCATAAAAATCTTAGGAGAACTTGTCAATTTGTAAGTATATATTTTTTCTGCTGTATTAATGATCAATGATTTAAATGAATACATGTATGTGTGGATAAATGAATAGTTTTAAATAGTTATAATGCAGAAGGTTTATTGAAATTTGACACCCTTGTTCAAGAGTTAAGGGAATGTTACTAAAACAAATAAATAATTTTTATCCTTGACATAGGTAGGGAATGAAAAGTATTATAGCTATCACAGAACACTAAAATATCAATTAATTGATATTCTTGTTCACTATATACTCTCAGAAAGAAAGGTAAAATATACACTATATTTCAATTAATTTTGAAGTTAGTTATTATGCTACCTGCAAAATAATTCAATCATTAAAAAGCATAGTATAAAGAAATAAAAATAATGTGCTTAAACTATACATTATGCAATCAGTATGTGAGGCCAAAAATATTAGATATTAAGGAAATAAAAAGTAATTTGTTTTCAAATACTTAGTAACTACTTTATTGTTGTAGTTCATATTTAAAATTGATGTGATTTAACTTTTCCTTAAACTAAAGAATATAAATTAAGACACACTGATATGTCAAATAAAAGCTTTAGTCTCATTGCCCTACTGACATGACTTTATCCAAGCTTTCAAATCTTATTAAAAAGTTACATAAGTGAGAAGTGGATTTCTTTTATTTTACTAAATAGATGTATGACTATATGCATCTGAAATTCCTGCTACTTTTGAATGTTTTTAAAAACTATTTTTAAAATAGTTTTTTTCAAATTAAATTCAAATCCTTTTCCAGTTTTTAAACTTTTATAACAACCATGCATTCTCACATTCAATGATTTCAGCATTGTAGATTTTACATGTGTGTTCACGACTATGTAGTTTTCAATGCTCATACATAAACATGAAAGACATATTATAATAAACAACAAAACCAAAATAGCTACCATTAATATAGAGAAAAATATGAGCAAATGCATTTTAGTGATAATATACTTGAATTTATTCAGTACACTTACTATGTCATGTACACTAGCTATTAATAACTAGAATGTCTTTTATAGTTTTAGTTGTGAACCTAGCCTTTAATGGCTAAGCCTTCTCTCCAGCCCTAGAATGTCATTTTAGGGAGTGTTTGTTTACATACATAGTCTATGTAGTCAACCTAATAATGTGTATTCACAAGTGTGTTCAATTTAAAATACTTAATGAAGTAAACCAAAATTAATTATTGATGTTTATTATTAAAATTTTTATAGAAAATATATTCCGATTGTGGTTTCACTTTTTGCAGAGTCTCCAAGATCTTCTCAACTGCCCTCTGACCCAAATCATTTTAAGTTAAATTGGTTTACAGATAGTTAAGACCATCTCTTTAGCATACATATGATTGACTTATTTTTTGTCAATGTATAGACAATTATTTCCTCCCCAATTTCTGAAATATTTCTAAATTACATAATTTAGTTAGCAAGGTAATACTTATAATTCCATATGAAGTATGGTAATAATTGTTATATTTTAAATATCTTGTTCATTTCACCAAGTTTTAAAAGTATAGTTAATACTAGCTGCACAATATCAACTTTGCATCCAGTTGATTCAGTTAGTAGCAACATAATAATAATTCCTTAGTTTTCTAAATATTTATTACAGCATGAGGACTTATATGGGTTTTTCTGTGCATGTATTTCACATGTAACATCTCAAAATTTGATTCTAATTTAAAATACATTTTTATAGCAATTAATATTGGATGGGCTGAAGGGAGGTGTACCTTGGAGGAAATAATCATGTAAAGAGAAAAGGGAATGTGATGCAATTATATTTTAATTAAAATGTGTAATTTATTTTAAAGGATACACTAAAAACATCGCTGTTCTTCTTTGGTCCCACTTCTTTTGGAGTTTTGGAATATTCTCTAACTAGTGAATTTTTAACAAGCTAAACTACTTGGGAAAGACTGAAAGACTAAATAATTTTGAAAATAAAATGAGTAAAAGTAACTTCACAGTGAATGCCGATGTTCATGCAACTCATTTAACAAGATCACAAAATGAAACATTAAAACTCCACCGTATAGTGATAAAAAACCCATTTATTTTACACTGTGAGCAAAGCAGATAACAAATTAATTTCAATGATTACTTTTAATATTTATGTTCTCATATCTCCGTGTGCTGCTTGCTTGTTCATAATGGAAAGTATAATGAAATACATTAATATAAAACATTAATTACAATTTCGATCTTAGAATATTTGTATCATTAGCACAATTGTTTTGTTCAATATGTTTCTTATTTGTTCTTTCATTAAATATTCAAATTAGAAAAAAGTACTAAAATTAGTGAAGATTGGGTGGTGTTAATATTTAAATGAAATTTAAAATGCATGTCAAGTAATTCTACCATAGTAACCTCACTTTTACCTTGCTGTCTCTGGAAGCAGTAGCACCATTCATTGTTAGATATCAAACTGTCCTTGTAAGTGTCACAAGAATTGAAGAACGCCTTTGTGCACTGTTCATTCTTATCAAGATATATGCTTCCAAGCTCTGACTGGTCTAATAGAAGGTCGTAGTTTGTATCAAGTCTATTAAACATCCAGCCAAGTGAATCCTTGCAAATTGGCAAAATACTGGTATCAAATCCTACATGCAAATAGAACATGATTAGCTTAGTATGCAAAAAAACCATTGTCAGAAAATAAAATAAATCAACATAATGGACAAGAAGTGGCTAGGCATAAAAGCAATATTTTAACTTCAACTTGGGAAATTTGCTTAAAAGTATATCAGGTATAAAAATAAGTATCTCTAGTTTTTAGGATTAATTAACCAGATAACATTTGCTACTAGTTAGTGGTCATTCAATGGAATATGACATTGCAATTATATGCTACTTATGCTAGTTATAGTTTAAACTTTTCTGATACTTACTAGATAATCATAATTTGCACTGTATTATTGAGTAACATTTTACACAAACTGTTAACAAGTGAGCAAATAGCTATGATGCAATATTTCTCATTCTGACTTTACCTTCTTTTGTGGTGATGTTTACAATTACCAAAGTGCTGTAAAGAAAGCACCAAGGTCACTTGAGGGAAGTAGGGTTCACAAAATGGCAGCACTTGGTTGTACCCAAGCTGTGTAGTATTAGACATGGGTCATCCACAAACCTCAGAGAAGCCATCAGTCCTATTTTTCATCAATGTTGCCAGTGATTTGAACCATTGCAATATTACACTCAATATATACATATATGTATACATATATACATACATATATATATGTATGTGTTTATACACACACACACACACACACACACACACACACACACATATTGTTCCTCCAACTGGAAATAGGATGTAAGAACTTGCTTATATGAGATAAGAAATGCCATACAAGTAAATAAGAAGAATCTAATTAAAGTTCTTCATGAGTTGGTAAAGGCTGAGGAAGGTTAGCACAAGAACAAGTAGCTTCATTCCCTTTTACAGATATTTTTCCACAGGGCTCATCTAAACATCTGAAGGAAGGCAAGGCAGAACAGAGAAAAAGTAAACTGAGAATCAAAGGTAGGCATGGAAAAAAGATAAAGGTACATCCAACTGTCTTTTTATCTCCCATGGAATTCCTTAATTTCTTTGTAAAGAGATGAACATCATGCCACTTGCTTTCATTCAGAGAACAGGTTAAAAAATGAAATGATTCTATCACTAAGAAAATCTTGGTGGATCAAAGACCTAAACATAAATCCAGCCACTTCTCTTAGAAGAGAAAGTGGGAGGTACCCTTGAACAAATTGGTATAGGAGACTGCTTCCTGAACATAACTCCAGTAGCACAGACACTGAGATTGACAATTATTAAATGGGACCTCCTCAAACTGAGAAGCTTCTTTAAGGCAAAGGACACAATTGACAAACCAAACGGCAGCACACAGACTGAGAAAAGATTTTCACCAATCCTACATCTGACAAAGGGCTGATCTCCAAAATATACAAAGAACTCAAGAAACTAGTCAACAAAACACCAAATAACCATATGTAAAAATGGGGTACAGAACTTCAGAAAGAATTCTCAATAGAGGACATCAAAAAGGCTGAAAGACACTTAAGAAAGTGTTCAATATCCTTAGCTATCAGGGAAATGCAAACCAAAACAAGTTTGAGATACCATCTTACTCCTGCCAGAATGGCTAAAATTAGAAACACCAATGACAATTTATGCTGGAGAGGATTTGGAGAAAGGGGAACACTCCTCTATTGCTGATGGGAGTGCAAACTTGTACAGTCCATTTTGGAGATCAGTATGGCGGTTCCTCAGGAAAATGGGAATTAGTTTACCACAGGACCCGGCAATCCCCCTCTTAGGCATATACCCAAATGATCTACATCCATGCAACAAAGACATGTGCTCAACTATGGTCATAGCAGCACTATTTGTAATAGCAAGAACCTGTAAGCAACCTAGATGCCCCTCAACTGAAGAATGGATCAAGAAAATGTGGCACATCTACACAATGGAATACTACTCTGTGGAAAAAATACAATGGAATCTTGAAATTCGCAGGCAAGTGGATGGCACTAGAAGAAACCATCCTGAATGAGATAGCCCAATCACAAAAAGAGGAACATGGTATATACTTGCTCATATATAGATTTTAGACCTAGAGGATTTCCAGCCTATAATTCATACCACCAGAGGCACTAGGATACAAGGTAGATTCTAAGAGATTCATATAAGATCCCTTACAGAGTGGGGGGAGAGTGAGGAGGCAGTGAGTGGAAAGGGAACTAGGAGAAGAGAAGGGGAGGAGTGGAAAGCACGTGGGACTAGGAAGATTGAGTCAGGGGAGGAATAGAGGACAGAAAAGAGACGGGGGAGGGAGAGAGAGGTTGAGAGAGAGAGAGAGAGAGAGAGAGAGAGAGAGAGAGAGAGAGAGAGAGAGCATACTACAGGGAGCCATTATAGGATTGAAGAGAAAACTCCACCTAAAGAAATGTTCAGAGGCTTACAAGACTGACACCAACTAACAATTTGAACAACAGTGGAAAGGCTCACATAAATGGTCTTTCCTGATAATGAGATCAATGACTAACTTATCCACCATCATGGAGCCCTCATCTAGTTCCTGTTGGGAACAGAAGCAAACACTCACAACTAAACACTGAGCCAAACTAGAATCCAGATGCAGAGTGGGAGGACAAGACCATGCTTCAGATACACATAGAGACAACTGACCTGAACAAGGAGGAGCTAATGGGCCCCCCAGACTGATGGCTGGGAATCCAGCATGGGACTGACTCAGAGCCCCTGAACATGAGTCTCAGCTAGAAGGCCTGAGCAGTATAAGGGACCTCATACAGTAGAACCAGGATGTATTCCTGGTGCAAAAATGGACCTTGAATGTACTTCTGCATGGAGGGATACTCCCTTAACTTAGAGACAGAAGAGAAGTCCTAGTCCTTACTTCAAATGACTTGACTGATTTAGATGACCACTCCTGGATGGCATCACCATATATGTGGAGTAGAGGTGGAGTGGGAGGGGAGGGTGGTCAGGGTGCATGTGGGGGGGGGAGAGGGAAAGAGGGAGGGAGGGTAAGAGGAGGGGAAGGAGGGAGAGGGAACTGGGATCTATATGTAAAATAAAAATGAAAATAAAATTGATGGGATAAAAAAAAAGAAAATATTACTTCTGAAAAAAGAAATAGAAAAGAAGCTGAAGAAAATGTTTTTGTTGACCTGCTATTATGGAATGTTATACTTGTTACTTTATAGATTTGAAGACATTTTATTTTCATGGTGTTTTATTTTTAATAAATTTGTTTTTGAGATAAAAAATTTTTAAATCTAAAAAATAAAAAAAAGCAAAAGAAAAACTTGGGAGACTGTCTTGTGTGTAGAACTATAAAGGGCTCAGACATTGACTAAGGGCAGAGTCTCTGAGAGAAAAAACTAGGGAAAAGGGACAAAGCAAAGACTTCAAAAAAGCTATGGACCATCTCCAAACAGACTAATACAGAAATAATTAAATGGACAGAGTTAGAAGAAAAAGCATGTGATAGACGAGATGGTTAAGGGAACAATGAAGATTTCGGTACAACTAATAAAATGTATCTAATAAAAGACAGAAGAATTTTATAGAATATAAAACTTGGCAAATATCAAGCAAATAAATACAAATAAAATTGACATATTGTAGTTAAATTTACTTAAACAAATAAAAAAAATGGAATTTTTAAAAGCAGCTGGAAACAAAGTTCATGTTTCTGTATAGCAGCTGTTCTCAGCCTGTGGATCATTACCCACAGGGTCACATATCAGATATACTAATTATCAGACATTTACATTGCAATTCAATACATTAAACTATCAAAACTCATTATGATTTTGCTACATTGTTTACATTTAATTTATACATTTCTCTTTGTTTTGAGTATTAATTCTTGAATATTTCAAGATACATACTGATCAAATATTCAGTACTTTTTTGTGAAGCAATAGTTTTCTATGTTCATCTTTGCCATTATGACTGGTGTAAGATGACATTCAAAGTTGTTTTAGATTTCCATTCTCCAAACTGTTAGAGATGATGGATAATTTGGGATGATATTTTTAGCCATTGTTGGGCTGCATTAGGTTCAGATTCTTATTTAAAATTATCCTTAAAAAAAAAAACTGTTTTACTTACAATGAAAAGTATCTTTTTTCTTAAAAATAATACAACTGACAAATTTTCATGTATCCATTAATTAGAAATCCATCATGATTAGAAATCTTCTCATGGATTTCAAATTTGCTGGAGCTCATGTTAGTTCCCACTGTTTGGTAAGTAGTATTCTTAATGGGGCCATTCGGGAGGAATAATGTAATGTAATAGCTTTATTGCATTAAATAACTTACATCTATATATAATTTATAATTATTTATTAAAATACATAGGGGAACTTTATTAAAATTTATTTGATCAAAATCACAGCATCACTATTTTAGGAAAATACTTTAGTAGTGCTATGGTACATAAATAAATCTCAATATAGAGATAGTTACATCTTCCTAATAAAACAAGTAACTGCCAGATGTTTCAATAATTAGAAACACAAAAATAAGCAATGATATGGTTGTTTCATTTTATTACTTTAAATGAGAAAAGAAATTTTATCTCCTAACTTTAGATCTTTGTTTTCAGTTGATGCATTTCCCTGTTATACCTTGAAGGCCCCTATTTCATTAAAAAGGGGTATTATTTTTAAGCCATGTAATTCCAAATTCAATCTTCTTCTCAATGTGAGGACAGCATGCCACAAAGTGAGCCATATCTTGGTAAGAAATTAGAATGCCTTCATATACCCTGGGGGCTGAAGTAATTCGATCATTTTCTCTCACTGTGAAGAACATTTGGTGTCTAAGACACGATGTAAGACATCATCCAATTCTGAGGGAAAGGCTCTTTATCTGAGAACTTTGCATATGATGTTCATCTCTACCATGCTTTACAAGTTGATATAAAGGACATTAATGACATAATCCTTTCATAGTACTAAACAAACTCTATTATAGCCTTTTAGAAAGATTCTCGGCATAGTTCTTGTGCTATAAATTCTTCTATCTTAAAGAATAAAAGAATATGCTGGCATATAAA